AAAGGCTTCTGGTGGGTCAACCATTCCTCCCAGCTTTGTGTCATCAGCAAACTTGCTGACAATGCTCTCTAATCCCACATCCAGGTCATTGATTAATATATCTAAAAGCACTGGCACCAACACTGACCCCTGATGGACACCACTAGACACAGGCCGCCAACTGGTCTCTGCCCCATTGACTACAACTCTTTGACTCCTTCCCTTCAACCAGTTAGCCACCCACCTCACTACTTGGTCATCCAGACCACACTTTCTCAGTTTACCTATGAGGATGCTGTGGGAGACAGTGTCAACTGCCTTGCTGATATCGAGATAGACCACATCCACCGCATGGCCACCATCCATCCACCTGGTTATGTCTTCATAAAAGGCTATCAGGTTGGTCAAACATGACTTGCCCTTAGCAAAGCCATGCTGACTGCTCCTAATAACCTTCTTATCCTTGATATGCCCAGAGACAGTGCCAAGGATAGGATGTTCCATCACCTTTCCAGGGATGGAGGTGAGGCTGACTGGTCCGTAGTTACCCGGGTCATCCTTCCTGCCCTTCTTGAAGACTGGAGTGACATTCGCTTTCCTCCAGGCTTCAGGCACCTCACCGGTTGTCCATGACTTACCAAAGATGATGGAGAGTTGCCTAGCAATGACTCCTGCCATCTCCCTCAGCACCCGCAGGTGCATCCCATCAGGGCCCATGGATTTATGGATGTTCAGGTGTTCCAGCTGATCCCTAACCCAGTCCTCCTCAACCAGGGCAAACTCCTCCTTTATCCTGACTTCCTCTGGGGCCTCAGGGGACTGAGACACCTGAGCACAGTCTCCAACAGTGTAGACAGAGGCAAAGAAGGCATTCAGTAACTGTGCCTTCTTTCTGTCCTCTGCCTCCAGGGCACCCACCTCATTCACCAGAGGGCCTACATGGCCTCTAGTGTTAGTTTTGTTGGCAATGTATTGAAAGAAGCCCTTTCTACTGTCCTTGACCTCTCTCACAAGTTTTAATTCCAAGGAGGCCTTAGCTTTTCTAATTGCCTCCCTACATTCTCTGACAGCAGTTCTTACTCCACCCAAGTGGCCAGCCCCTCCTTCCATGATTTATATACACTGTTCTTTCACTTGAGTCTGCCCAACAGATCCCTGGTTAACCATGCAGGACTCCTGGATCTCTTTCTTGATTTCCTCCCCGTTGGGATGCACTGATCCTGAGGCTGGAAGAAGTGATCCTTGAATAGTGACCAACTCTCTTGGGCCCCTTTACCTTCCAGTTCCCTGTCCCATAGGGTAGCAATTGCTTGAAAAGGCCAAAGTTGGCCCTGCTGAAGTCCAGACTTGTGACCCTGCTTGGTATTCTGTTCCTACTGCACAGGATCCTGAACTCTGCCATCTCATGGTCGCTGCAGCCATGGTTGCATCAACCTTCACTGCTTCAAACAGACCTTCCCTGCTGGTGAGCAGAAGGTCCAGCAGCTCTCCTCTCCTGATCGGTTCATTCACCATTTGCATCAAAAAATTATCATGGATGCGCTGGAGGAACCTCCTGGACTGAGGATGGCTGGCTGTGTAGGCCTTCCAGCAAATATCCCGATAGTTGAAATCCCCCATGAGAACCAGGGCCTGCAATGGAGAGGCTGCTGTCAGCTGCCTGTAAAAGGCCTCATCAACTTGCTTGCTACTTTACTAGCTATTGCTGTTTAATAATATGATGGATTATGCTCTGCTGCTCCTCTGCAGCCTTAGCTCTGGCACCCTGATAGAAAATGAAGTCAGGTATTTATGACTTAAGGTGTATGAGGTAATTCATCCAAGTTACATTCTTATCCGCTTTCTGTTAAAGCTGAAGGTGGTAGGACCAAAACCAATGTAAGTTAGGACAATGTGCTGGTATACAGTTACCAAAGTTAGAGAGCTTTAGTGTAATAGCTTTGAGGATTCTTTGCAAAGGACCAAAGGAAATTTTCTGTGTCACTTTTGAAAATCTCATTGGAAAGGCTGGTGTTGCTTGCTCAAACATTGTAGGCAATAAACAACTAGCCTGATTTACTGACTTAAAGTATGTCTTTGCTCTAGCCTGCTGATACAAAGCATTCCCTCACTATGCAGACACTGTATAAACCACTATTCAGATGGACTGAAGGAGAAGCACGAATGGTTTGAAGTCTCGTTGCCTTGACACGTGAAGAAAGACTGGAACAGTTGCTGTTGAGATAGTGCAAGTGTATAAGATACTAAGAAATAAGGAAAAAAATTAAAGGAAAAAAAGACTTTAAGTGCAGTAGAGCAGGTTGTTAAGAAAGCTTCCTAAAAGCAAGGATAATTAGACATTAGAATAGACTGCGTAGGGATGCGGTTGAACACAAGTTGCACAAAACATCTAAACTGTCATAGCTGATCCTATGCTGAAGCAAAGAGGAACACTAGTCAAGCTCTTGAGACTTTCCAGCCCTGATAATTTTCACGATTCAATGCAACAGGATTTTTATATGTCAGACTTACAAAATATGAACTCACTTTGTATTGTGATCATTGATGTTTGAAAATGCTCATGGAAAATTCTTCCTCAGGTTATTTTCAAAATATGAACAGCAACCTCACAAAACTGGTACACACTGAAATTACCGGTCTCAGTAAAAGTGATAACTCTGGTCTTAAAATGTGGGTGCAAATATGAACAGAATAATCACCAGTCTTAGCACTGGTGTTTCCACTTTCAGAACAGCATACTTTGCATGAGAGCATAATAGTTTGTAATGGACCAATTTTCTTTCTCACCTTTACAAGCCAGTTCTTCTAGTCCTTGGTCTACAACTGTTGATAGTTAACATATATGACTGAAGAGAAAAGAAAGCATACCTGAATATCCTCATCAGTTGATGCATTAAATTTATCTCTTGGTTGTGGTACGGGAGAAAATATGCTCTTCACACTGCAATACCTTTTGGTAGAAAATCGGATTGTGAAGAAATTAAAAATACTAGTAGCATAACTTAAACAAACATTTTGTGTTGTTCATTATGGACATTTTTTACTTTCAAGACTGAATGGCTATTGCTCTACAAATCACTAGATAAGAAGTAAAATATTTTGAGTGTAATCATGTTACATTTGTCTCTTGGGTAACCAAATTTATTTTGTGATGGGAGGCACAGTAAATAAATTATTAAACAATGACTTTCAATAAATCAGATAACTTTCTTCCACCACTAAGTGAGGAGTTTTCTCAAAATAATGACATATTCATTGCTCTGATTCCCTCTTGTCTGGTACTGTATGAAGCCAGTGGCTTCAAAGTGATGTGGATGTTAAATGCTTAAAAGTAAGAACATAAATGGTTTTGCAGGATCTGATAGAATCAACCACTTGCTAACTTTAACATCCTTCTCCCTTTTCTACTTGCAGTGAGTGCCAAAGTGCCATCCACAGCAATATTGGTAATAATATTTCATGACATTGATAATCAGAGTATTTAAGGTGTAGGTGTAGATAGGAAGGTAGGAGACAGGAGGAATGGGTTTCATAGAAGTAATACTCTGTCAATAGTTTCTATATCAATAAGATTGATTTACCTTTTGCAGAGACAATACTGGAGCACACTCATTGAGATTGTTCCAAGTGCTATCAGAAATAAAATCACAGAAATAAAGTAATCTTTCCCTCGACCTGAAACATCCAAGAGAGAGAAATATCTTAGCATGCCAAAAAGCTGCTCTTTTGAATAATCTGAAGGACTTCAACTTGACTTCTTACAGAACCTTGTGAAAAATTTTCAGGTGCACTTGGCACATTTTAAAGCATTTCAAACATTTTAAATACAGAGAATTAAAAAAAAAAATCCAGAAAAGGAGAAGAAGAGTCACAGAACGAATGACAGCAGAAGTGGAGGAACTGTAAAACAGGTGTTGAGGAAATGGTGAAAAGGAAGATGTGAAAGGAAAGGGTGGTATTTATGGCTTAAAGAACTGAAAGGCAGCCTCAGCACCCTGGATTGAAGGCGAAATTTGGGTCTGTCTCAGCCTGTTCCTGTAGCCCTGGAATCTGAGTAACTGCTGCCATCACAATCCTAACTAATCAAAGCCTGGTATAAGCTTCCATTGCCATGGTAATGGAGCTTCTTCTACACATTAATACTTTCCACCTGGTTCCTTCCATGACATTACTTAAGAAGATTTTGTTCATATATGCGAGTGAGAAGGAAAAAAGGAGAAAAATATGTAAATCCTGAAGAAAAATAAATCTCTATTAAAATAGTATTTCACAGCCTTACCAAACTCGATGGGTTCACTCCATTCCCCCCAGTTTGAGCTTATGAGACAGCTTTTTCCACGTGCTCTGATTCTCAGAGTGTATATTTTTTTCTTATTATAATTTTGGAAGTTGTAGCTGTTGTTCCTTACCTACAATCAAAGCAATCAGACTGCATTTCATAGAATCACAGAAACATCAAGGTTGGAGAGGACCTTAAGATCATCAAGTCCAACCTACAGCCCTGCACCACCGTAATACTAAACCATCTCCTGAAGTGCCACATCCAGCCGTTTTTAAACATGTTCAGGGATGGTGACTTCACCACCTCCCTTAGCAACCCATTCCAATGCTTCACTACCCTTTCGGTGAAGAAGTTTTTCCTAATATCCATTTCACCCCATAGGCAAATATTAATAAAATTTTGGGTTTAATTTCTTGACAATTTCTATCAAAAACCTCATTTCTATGATTTTGTACTTGTTAAATGTTCTTCTCTGCAAATTTAAAATAGTGATAAATTAGTTCATCCTACCACTGAGTCTTTCTGGTTTTTGAAGTTTAAAGTTGGACTTTCAAGTTCATTGATTCTTTAACTTATTTTATCATGCTTTTAGGACACTTTTCTCCCTATCCTTGTTTATGGATCTTAAAACCCCGTATCTTTGCAGGGACTAATTGTGCAGATATTCACTGGATGAGGTCTGTCTTTGCTGAACAGACTTAACACTTTTGAGACAGTCCAAAACCAGATATGTATCATCTGGCCTCATGATACTTTATACAAAGTCTGGAACCTGCCAAGACTAAGGTGCTCCCAGGACTGAGAGGACCACTCATTTGTCAGGGCAATACTGACATTGTATATTAACTTCCATAGGTTTTGAAGACCTTGGTGTTCCTTCTGCGTAGCTGTCCCGAATTACAGTGATGCTTCTCCACCAACAGATATGAGGAGAATTTTTCAAGTTTTTATTAAGCAAAATGTCACATCTATCTCAAGCAAAATCTATCTGTTCAGTAAATGGAAAGTATGAAGTTTGGTGAAATGCATGGAAAATTCTATCTAGTGTAAGCTATCCCATCCAAAAGGGATGTATTACATTTGCACATAAAGATAACACAGGAATATATTTTCATAAACTCTCATTGCTGTAGTGATACAAAAATTGTAGTTCTAGAAGTAAATATATTTTATATAATGGTATTTATATGCTTAAGTAAACAAAAGCATAAATTTGTATATGACAAGAATACTTACTCTTAAAGGAGCATCCTCCTTCGCCTCTTTGGACCGGTCCTAGAAACCAAAGACAAACCTTCATTTTCACTATTTTCTTGCCAGATCAAATATTTTTCCCTATTTTGTTCTCATTTTCTTGCTTATAAAGATCATAAATAATTTTAAACTGAAATATCAATTGGATATTTTGCTCCCATAATGTCGCAGAGTATAGCACTTTATTCAGAGTTTTGACTTCTTCTATTTCATTTTAGAAAAGGAAGGAAGCATGAATTATTTATCAATGGCTGTGAGAAGCTGTATTTGCATCTAAGGGCATATTTACACTGTGAATTCTCACCCAGCAGAAGTGTATCCAAATTACGCAAGCAATCAAGTCATCCCTCAAACACAACAGCACTGGAAGCTGTGATTTCACAACAGTTTGACAACAAGGGGCAGCAAATTGATGTGAACAGCAAATTTGCCCTCCTTCCAGTCAAAGGCTGTGCTAGACATCTGAGTGATCTGTACGGGGGCTTTCCTCAAAGTACTGTGAAGAGCTACTTACACATCTCATACAGTCAAAAATTAATTAACTAGAATTAAACATTGACCTGGAAAGAAAGAACCTGAAAAAAAACATTTAAAAAGAATAGGTTTGAAAATGAGTGAACGAAATCAACAGCAGAGATTTTGGGAAGGATCCCAGAAAACATTGAAAAGCTGAGGTCCTGGAAACATCTAACATGTGTAACGTCAGAAGCTGGCATTAGGGAAAAGTCAGGAAGATGTTATCGGAAGGAATGCCTCGTTTCAGAAAATACACTGCTATGTGTGTTGCATTATAAAGTAGCCTAGTATTTTCCCATTACTCATTGTCAACTGAGCTCTTTCGACTTAGGACCTGATAGAAATCATCAGCTTGAGCTGTAAATGGGGAGAGTCCAAATGAGTTACTTAAGCTTTAGGTGTGCAGCACCAATGTAGTTGCCTTACCTCTAGAGCCTCCTCCCAAAAGATGTGTTGTATCTGCCATCTTCATGTAGGTACCTTCAGTTCCTTCAGTGCCTATAGCACCTTAAGGGGAACGAGGCACCTACTGCTCAGCTGCACAAAGCAAGAGATATGCATTGACTATTATGGGATATCCGTGCTCCCTTGCAGACACCTACATTAAGGTGTGTCCATCTGGGAGATGAATTTCACACACACGAATGTAGGAATCTACAGAATTCTGCCCACTTTGAGTGTGGCACGGGAAAGAAGAGATAAGATGTATTTCTTTAAAAGAAATGTTTTCATAATATTGCTTCAGTCATATTTTATCACCTATATCTTTATGTAAAACATTCCAAGTATTCCACACAAGACCTTACTGTCAAATTATACCAGCCAGCTGGAAAACTATATGTACTAAAATTGCTCTTTGAAATAACTGCCAAGGTAGATATAATGCATGCAAGATACAAAATCCAGACAATCCAAACAGCCTGCACACTGAAGACCTAGTTTTGAATGGGTTAGTGACTTTTAATGATGTATTGCTTTATTGCAATTGTATATTTATGTTTAACCTTTAGTTGTAGAGGTCTTGTGTTACAGATGCCTGAGGAATTGCCCTTACAGTAAGCTTCTGAACTGTGGCTGGGGGGGAGGAACCACTAATTTGTCATGGCATAGACATCATCCATGCATGGAAATCACATGATGGTAAAACAGGTATCCCTGGAATGATGAGGAAGTGTGCTATTTCCTCCTTGTCAAACTCCTGGACTCAAAGAACTTCCCTTTTCCTTGTCCTTAGGAGTGTCAAAATCAGGTCCTTTAGGCACTGAGATTTACGAAGGAGGATTTGACACCTCAGTCTCTCTGCTGCCTTACACCTGGTGGAAGCCAGACACATCTCAGCTATGGTAAATGTTATCCTGCACTTTTCCTGTGTTTGCTGTGGTAAGTTGGCAGTGCTCTACCTACAGCGTAGGAAAAATCCCAGCTCACTTTTGGTAGATCAATCATAGAATCAATGATAGAATCAGTCATAGAATGGCCTTGGCTAGAAGGGACCTCAGAGAACATTTTAATCCAACCTCCCTGTCATGGGCCAGAGACGCCACCTCTCGACTAGATCAGGCAACACATGTGGACCGAACGCGAATCGAACCCGGGACCTCGGTGTTCTCAGCACCGTGCTGCATGTTTACATCCGACATAGTCATTTAACGTTCCTCTTTTACAGTCAACAGAGAGAAAGAAGCTCTTTAGGGACACAGTTTGTCTCTTCTACCTTGGATGGGTAACACCACACTTAACTGCAGAGACGGTAAAGGGTGACTTACTGAAAAGCAAATGCATCCATTGTGGGTGTCTACCCTGGGCCTGTGTGAGCTTTACCCTGAGTTGCTGGGATCTAATTTTTCAAGAGTGACTTCTGTTCCAGCACTAGTTTCAAAGAGGAGGTTTTGGCATACACTGTGTGGATGGGAGGGAGGTGGATTTGCTCAGCCAGGCTCCAGGGAAAGGACAGCAGCAGAGGGAAGGCTGCCAAGGGGCAACAGATGGTGGGAGAGGTGGTGGAGGAGAGGTGGTGAGGCTAAGGGCCAAAACACTGAGGGGCAGCTGTGAGCTTTCCAGCATGTGCAAAATGCAGTTATGGTGGCTAAAGATGAGGTGCCCTGGGAAACAGGGTAATCATGAAGGACGTCAGCCTGGGCTGGGGACTGCCACCAAAGCAGTGCCCTCATTGCAGATTGCAGGCTGCCATCACACAGTCACCTCCCGTGAGATGTGCTTATGCAGGAAAACGTCTCAAGTCCTCTCCCTGTCTCTGGACAGAGACCCCTCATAACATTTCCCTGTTCTCCTCTGCTTTTCTGCTTTGCACCTCTGATTAGTTTGAAATAAGGTCATGAGTGGTGGGATGCAAGAGCAGCAGAGCTGGAGCAGGAGGATATTATAGTTTATGAGAGAGAAGTTAATAAATAAAGGAAACAGAAGCTTGCACATTATAGAAATGCATGTGCGTAGATATGGTGCCAAATAGAAATCAAGAAATTTTTACCTTATTTTGTATGCTAATTTCATACTGAAAACAGCGTATGTTTTCCACATGACTTGTAAGGGGTGGTTGCCATGTAATTACGCAACCTGCTGAATCTCCAGCACAATTGGCAGTGACATTTAATGGAGGAGTGAGTATTTCTGGAAAGAAATGCAATCATTAATGTAGATGGGGTCAATAATCACCTACAACTCATGTGTTCATAGCAAAATACGTGTGAAGCTGAGGCAACTTTTGTACAGTGGTGTGCTACTCACGTTAGCAAACATCTGGTAAACAGGAGTAAAACAGTCACTTGAGGATATATTACTTCAGTTGCTGGACATCTGAAGTAACTGCAGTTCATGTAAAAAAGTAGGAAAGATTTTGTGTAATTCGGCGGTACAATCAGCAGAGTGCCATTTTCTTCTACATCTGAATTTCACATTAACATGAGAAGAAAGATGGAAGTTTTGGGGCGTGTGGTAGAAGACCAAGTCATCAGAATTTGAGTGCCCACAATATACTTGACTAGGTGTGACCTAAGTATCTAGCCACTATAGTCAGCTAAGACCTTCTCAGTAGTGCCCTTAATGTCTGCAAAGCTGTTTGGCCCACTACAGAGCAGGCGTGTTTGTCTAAATAGTTCTGGGCTTAATAGCCTGCCTCAGCTGCAGGTAGGACTCAGCCTCATGGTGTGCCCGTCAGAACACATATAGGACACCCAGTAGGACTCCTGAGCTACATCTGCAAGCTTTGTGGATGCCTCAATTGTCTGAGGGTCTCAAATGGCACTACAGGCAGGTTTTAAGGCAACTAATCCATGTCACAGAGTCATAGCATGTGTTGGGCTGTAAGGTGTCCCAGATGTCTGCTGGAGCTTAAACACCTAGCTCACAGATAGGTACCCACATATCTGGCTAACACAGTTTTAAATTTCAAGTTAAACATTCTCTCTGGTGTTAGGACACATAAGTCTTGTGGTTCTCAGAAAGGTGGAATTAAGTGATGGCAAAATGAGCCCATCAGAAAGGTAGCCTTGAAAGTCTAACAATTGTGTTTTGTCACTTGGATTCCATGGATATGTTCACACCATTTCTCTGATTGGTTATTTCAGGCTGCCTCTTCCTTTGCTTGTTTTAGTTCATTTTTGGAACTATCTTCTGCCACAGACTTTGTTTTCTTCTTCTTTTCTCTTCAGAGAAAAATTTCCCACTTCCTTACTTTATAAAACAGTAATAAAATAAAGCTGTTCACTTACCAATTTTATATAGTTGAATGTACTCATCATGGAACTGGATCAGGGAGTCTTTGCTAGACCCATTCACCAGGAAGTAAGCTTTCTCACTATTTATTGTCACATTTTGGAATCTACATCCTATGTTTCTGCCATTTTCATCCTTAAAGTAGAGCTCACATTCCATCTCCTTGTCATCTCTGCATATAGGAAAGTATTTTAGTTAAACTTGAGCAATGTGATGTGTCAAATGAGAACACAGACTTCTCTAGACCCAAGCAGACCTACTTACCTTGAGTTCTGCCAGTAGAGGAAATATTGGGTATCTCCTGGAGCATTCTTGCCTGCCTGCCAAGTGCAGTTCATGAAGGAGATGTTGTAAATCACACAGGAGAAGTTAACAATGGCTGACCCATTCGTGCCTACAAAGACAGGAATATCTGTGATGGGGAAAAATCGTGTGACTGCTCCAAGCTGGAGGAAGATCTTAGAACATGCTTAGATATGTTAGACATCTGCGGCTCCAGCTGACTATTGCCTGGGTTAGGCATGGCAACTGGGAGAAAGCTGGACTCTCACCCTATTTTAATTTCCTCTGAAGTGTGATGTCTGTGAGTGAGTAGAGTATTCACACAGGTAAAGAGAGGCATATTGTCTTTCAACACACTCCTTGGTGCTATAGAGGGATGTTTTTCTCCTTTTGCAATTAATGCCCAGAAATCCACTCCTGAAGTGTCTACACACAGCATTTAAAAAGCTGAGATATCTGAAAGTAAGTTTGGGCTTTTTTCTGCTCTCTGATCAAACAGCATAGCTAGATCTTTCCACCCTGATGCGGTCGAAAATTAGTTGATTTCTTCCTTTTTTGGAGCACATTGAAATAGGAACCTTGTTTCTTTGGAAGCTTCCTAGTGACTGGGCTGTACACACATGCTCAGCCTCCTTCTCTCTTCTCCTTCAACCATTTTTCTGCTTCTTTCTGTAGCATGCCCCAAGTTCCGTGAAAGGATGGAAGCTTCCTCCACTACCACCTGCAGCCCCCTCCAGCGCTCAGTATTGAGGGCACCCTTGCAGAAGCAAGGGGGAATCCCTTGGGGAACCTGCATGCTTGGAGGCTAAGGCCAGCTGGGGAGGAACACTAAAATCATGAGGTTTTAAGAGGCAGCGTGTCCTGGGTTGTATTTTGAGGGCCACCGTGAGAGTGTTTCCACTGTCAAGTCCCCAGAAAGAGACAAGTTGGGAGTACTTTCTTTGCTCAGATAAGAGCAAGCTGCAAATCTCATCATCTCTGTGAAGTCTGAAGTACCCTGGTTATGACAGCTGCAGGAGCAATGGTGACTGGGCAGTTTTACTAGAGAACTCTGAGTTGAAAAGAAAGGGGGAAATGAGCTTTAAACCCTTCAGTTTTGGAATCATGAACCCAGGATCACCCTACATCTCATTTTTTTAACTTCGTATGGGGCAGGCTCAGAATATCTTTGCAAACAGTTGACTCAGCTCAATGAGTAGACAGCAGCCAAGGGAACCTGCATGTGTGCAGGCACGTGCATGTCAGTGTGCACACTAGGACCAGATTAGGAGATTGCTACACTCAGACTGCTTCTAGCTGCTTATCACTGGCATTTCCTTTCCTTTTCTCCTCCCATTTTGTGGGTTACACTCATCTCCAGGCTGCCTTTAGCTAGCTCTCTGGTCTGGCTCCTAACAAACTCACGAACAGCCAAGCAGAAAAGCATTTAATAAAGGAATGGGTGTTAACATGTTAATTTGTAACAGACAGAGCAGTTATTTGAATCCACCCTTAAATCATTGTAATTTACTGGCATTTTGAGGCCTAGTAAGAAAGAGAATAATGCAATTACTAATACACATGTAATAATGCATCTCTTGCAGAATTTTGGCAACATTCATTACAGAACAAATAATTTTAGCAGAACATAGTTTTTAACAGAACATAAAGCAGTTACCTACTGTTTAAGGAATTGTTTTCTAAGGCAATGTTTACATTTAAAAGGTTGCAAATGGAGAAAATCTTACCCAGATCATAGACATTACCTCCAGGGTTAAAGGTGCAACTTTTTGAGGTGTTTGTGTTTGGCACTTCAATGGTAAAGAATACCCCTTTGTGCAGAGATATGTATTGTTCCACTGGAAACCTGCATAGTGGACTATTCACCTGCAATAGAACGTGTTAATATTTTATTTCTGTTTTTCCTCGCAGGCATTAGATGATGCTGAGTAGGAAAGTGCAGCACAGAAACTCAGTTGTATCACCTGAATCTTGTGTGTTGTCCTGGTTTAAACCAATTTTGTTCAGTGATTTTATTTTTCAGCTCAGTCTCTTCTAAGAGGCTGCATTTTCTGAAGTCAGCAGCGTGTTTTTGCAGACAGTGTCTGCTACTAGAAGTGATAATGTCTGATGTTTATAGTTTTTGCCAGGGTTTGGTATGCAGAAAGGCTCTTGCTTATATTTGCTCCTATAGTGACCAAGGTCACTGCTAAATCTTGTGTACCACGTTGAGGGGTGCCAGGAACTAAAGGGGTTGCAAGGAAGTTAAAAGATCCTTTCTGGGAAGTAACGGGAAAGACAGGTGACCAATAAGAGTATTCCATTCCATGTACATCATATTCAGTATAAAGCTAAGGAATCACAGGGGTTAAGCTCTCTTCTTCAATGGATGGTGTCCAAGAAGGACTCCATCCAGTCTTCTGCCTTTGATCCTCATCCTGAGTTCCTGAAGCCAGCTCCTTTATCCAGATTCCCACTGCTGCTGAGCCTGGGGCTTCCCCAGTGCTGCCTGCTCTGCAGCATCGGTGGGGTTTGCTGTTGGTGGGGGGAGGGGATTCAATATTGGTTTTGTATATATTTGTATATATTTATCATTATTTTCATAATTTCCTTATTAATACTATTATTGTTTTATTAAAGCTGTTTTGGTTTTCTTTTCCAATCCGTAAGTCTTCCCTTTCCCTTCCTCTTCAGGGAGGAAGAGGGATTAGAGAACATCTGCCAGCATTCAGTCACTGGCCCAGACCTAACCCTTGACATGTGTATGTGTATGTGGTTAAGGCTCAAGAACTAACTCTCTCCTTTACCACTTGAAGGTGATATAGAATAGAGTTGAGTGATCTGAAGCATAACTATGCAAAAAGCTTTGCATCTCAGGAGTTGGATGCTATGCTAGTGTGCAGCTATTAGAGAAAGCTAGTAGTACCCCAATGACATAACAGAAGAGGTTAATAAATAGGTGAACCACAGTGGAATTTAATCAGAGAATTAAGAAAAATAGAAGTCCTCATCAGACCATCAGCAGGGGTCAGAAAGGTGTTTATGACATTATACTTATAAACTTCAATAAAGATGTGATGTGTTTTTGTAACATGTATTTCTGATTAAGGCATCTACCTTGCTAGGCTAAATAAACTGTCTCCATTTCTTTCTGAAAAGCTTCTTATTTTTGTCTTTGGTTAATTTACCCTATAACCTGTTCTACAGACATGATCCAATTTACTAGAAAAGCAGTGAAGAACTTGAGATAACGAAAATCTGTAGCAGTATTTGGGGAATTCACTTTTTATTTGAAGGGTCTCTTGCTCTGTCTCTTTAAGTTCTCTAGAGTCTCAGTCTCACAGCCCCTTTTTCAGTCGCTACATCCCTATTTATGATTCAATGTAGGTACAGTTCAGGCTATCATCTCCTTTCCACTTCAGTGCCAGACCTTTGGTTCTGTGCTATGCATAGGGTGCTTCTCTTGTAGCAAACACACCCTGGCATTGACAATGGCTTTCAACAGCCCCTGACAGATCAAGCTGTAGACGGCAAAAAATCACTGATCGGATTTTACCTGCAGCTGATTTTTTGAATGTGAAACTAGTAAAAGGTAAAGAAAAAGGTGCAGTTATTTATTTCAATGAATAGCAAGTTTACCTCTTTCTGTACTCTTTCCATGTCCATGTCCATGATGCTACATTTGTACTTAGAGAAATTCTTGCTGCTCTCCCAGGACAGTTCCATTTTTCTCCAATTCATTTTCACGTTTCTAATAGGTGATTCTTGTGCCTCTACTGAAAGTGTTAAAGAGTAAGTTCAGTAAAGATATGCTATTGTTTTTGCTGAATGCAGAGGATAGCATCTGTCAGGCTTAAAATGACAATTGCCAGATTAATTGCAAATACCTCTCATAAATGAAAAGTTAAACCCTATTTCTCATTTTGTATCTGCAGAAACATACTTACACTCCATACACTGGATATCAGCATGCAAAGGATGAAATAGCATCATACACCAGCAAGTCATGTAAATGAGTCCAAGAGTATCAAACATACTTTCTTCTCGGAAAGAGATAATGAAGCCTTTAGGAAAAAATAAAAAAAAAATAAAAAAAGTGATGCCCAAGTGTACTTTAGGTACTGCAACACTTCATTTTTTTTCATGGGAAGAGTCAAAGATACTCTCTAGTGCACCCTTAGAAAATATTATTTAAAAAAGCCAAGCAGAAAGTGTTCAGGACTTCTGGCAAGGACCTCTACTATGAAAGGACTGTGTCGGCTTCCTATTGTCTATCATAACACAGAGAGCCCACAGACTCTCATTATGGTTTTCAGAGCAGTGACCATTACTTAGGATTACTCTTGTCCCTCATATCTATCCTAACCATACTATTAGAAAGCCAAGTTTTCTTGCTTTCTGATCCTGTGAAGATCACTGCAGATTTTCCTATGCGATGGCCCAGCTTCTGCTGCAGAGTGAGCATTCAGGCTGGTTCTCAGCCATTTGTTGAAGACACCATTTGGGAAATAGATGGTTTGGGTTTTGGTTGTGTCCAGGGTTGGATGACTCACTTCTGCGTAAGTGCTCTGTTAAAGCCAGCATGACCACCAGGTATGTTCAGAGCCTGTATCTGCTCCTACCATCACATCTTGGGGGTGCATGTAAAAGGCCCATGAGATCTGGACTGGCTAAGCAAAGCAGGAGAAGATAGGTCTCAATCTCTGACAGGTTTTGGCAACAATTAAATCCTGCCCTGCTTACCTTTTTTTTGACTATGGCAAATGAGTGGTCTTTCTTAAAAGCCTTTTGGGGCTGATGTCAATATTTCATGTAGTAGGGCCTTAATAGTTCTTAAAATAATGTTTAGAGCAATGTCCTGAATTGCTGACTGTGGACATGCCATTGGTTTTGCATACCATTTTTTTCGTGTATCTTACTTATCAATTTCAGCACTATTTTCTATAATTTTTTCTTCTTTTCTTTTCTGACCACAGATCAGCTAAGAACAGCTTTCTATTCAGAAAAGTACCTTTGAAGCTGTAATTTTGATGAGCCTTTCCAAAGGTACTGAAAGTCCTGGATTCATCTGCTTTTCCATTGCCCTGAATATCCCAAATAGCAGCATTTATCATAAACTTGATGACGTTTCTGTCTGTTCCTGACAAACATGAATTAATTTTCCATTTTTATATGTGGTGCTTCACTTTTCACCTCTTTTCATGAAAAACTGAATATACTAAAGAATACCAGTATCCCACTACTAAATAAGGTACTTTTTCTACATTTTCTTTGTTATTATTTGGTTTTGGTTACAGAAATTGTTGAAACTTACGGTGAACATTATTAAACTTTGAGGATGTCTGCTTTGTAACCAAAATATGACGCTGGATTTCTGGAATGAAAGGGGTATCCAAACAGTTGTCTATACTGGAGGCTGAGGCAATCTTAGCAGGGGAACAAGTAGCAAAAGCACCCTACTCTTACTGGCCCAGAAGCCCTGGGTATCCTTGGCAGAGAAGACATACTTTGAAGTATCCTCAGGAAAGGATACTTTAAAGACCCAAAAGGGTACAGATGAGCTCTTGATGTAATCACCATGAATACAGAGATGATTAAATAGATGTCTACCTTACATGGCTTCTTGGAAGATCCTTCCATTGTGGGCTTGCTATGGGTGGAAGAACAGGATGAACCAGTTGCTACCACGATGGTGCAGCAGCTGCAATATCGTACTGGTACATGTTTGAGTCTGGTGGGTTTTTTTGGAAGTGGAAGGAGGGCTGTGGAGGCTGACTCTTGTGAAACCTTGAGAGCTTTCCCCAGCCCCAGGCAAAAGTGGGACCCACCTCTGTCCAAGGTCAGGCCAGTCAGCTCCTCTGGGATCAATGTGTTTAAGAGGGGAAGGTATTGAACCACCTCCTCTTTGTTTCGTTATCTCTTTTTGTCTTCTCTGTTATCTTTGTCCTGGTGTTGAGGAATTTTTCTGTTGGGAGGAGGAGGAGGTGAGAGGAAAGCAAAGGAATGCAGTTGGTGAGAAAAGCTGAGAAGACACTGGGGCAGAGTGTTTCCCTGGAGTCAGGTGGTGAGTGAGATGGCAGGGAGATATTTGTCTGAGAGATGAGGAGATCGATGGCAGTAAGAATGTCCAGGATGTGACAGTACATGGAGAACCCCATGCCAGGGGGAAGAGAGACTGAGCATGAGTGCAGGACACTTTTGAAGTGACCTGTGACCCCGAGTGGGATGGATCCACTTGAAGGAAGAGGGTTGCCACCTGTGAGATGGACACCATGCAGTGACAGGGGAAGACAGCAAGGAGACCTCTACCCCAAGAAGGAAGAAATGCCATGAGCAATGAATAATGGTCAGACAGACCTCATCCCTCATCTCCTGTCCCCATTTGCACTGATGGGAGGAGGAAGTAGCTGGGAAGTCGGGAGGGATGGCGAGAGGAGTGCATTTAAGATACAATTATATTTATTTATGTGTTCCTCTCACTATCCTACATGGAGCTAGTTGATAAATGGTGGTAGTAAATTAAATTTATGTCTTCTCCCCAAGTCTACTCTGGTTTTTGCCCATGACCATAAGTGATGAATGAACCCTCCCCATCCTTATCTCAATCCTTGATCCTTTTTGGTTGAATTTTCTCCCTCCACATCCCTGTGGTATTACGGGTATTACTAAAATTAATTCTAAGATTGTGAAGTAAATTCTCAAAAACTCATGAAAAAGAGAAATATATTTTGTTGCTTGTCTGTGCTATATTAATTTTTATGATGCTGATTTCAGACTGACTCCACTTGTGGTAAAAGCAAAAACCTACCCAGACCCTCCAAACAAGCTAAAGTCTTGAATATTTCCAGGACACAACTCCACATTTCATGGAAATTGTCTTGATGTGACTCATCCATTGTGGTCTCCAGGTATCAAGCCAGGACAGGACACCATGTTGGGGTTGCAACAGAGACAGAGTCTTCACTGTAACCTGATTCTTCTCTGCTTATCTCCTGCAGCATCAATCTTTTCTTTGTAAATCATCGTGCTGCAGCACGGATGTGGCTACATCTGCTGGGAAGTGATACTGAAGAATCTTGTGTCCAAACAGTACGGAGGACTGATTGTGAAATGCTGTGTGAGGCAATTACTTCCACTTTCCATACTTTGAGTTGTCTCCTCAGTAATGCACATAGGAAGTTATGGATGTGTCATTGGGCTTGCCGTGGAAATACCAGGGTGTGTAAGTGTTCACTTTCATCACAAGAAATTACTGTTTCCATTGACCACAGCACTAAGGGGGTTTTCCTCCAAAAGATTTATGTTTTATGGTTGACTGACTTTTAAAACAAATGACACAAGAAAGGATTCAGGGCGGGTTGTGTCTGTGTCCTCTCCATCACTCCAGCTGAAGGTACCAACTCGTAACCAAGTCCCTCAGCTTTTCTCCAACCTGCAGCCAGGGTAAGAGATGTTGGAGCTGTGGTGAGCCCTAAGCTATTTGTTTGCTTGAGCCATCCAGGCCTTCTGCCTAGTGGCCAGGCAAATGGCTCCAACAGCACATCTGTCAGAGCTTTGTGCCTCCAGGACCTCTACCTTCTCACAGACTGGTCTTTTGCAGACAAGTGTGGTAAAACTCCCTCTGCTCTGAACAGACATCAGTGTTGAATGTGTCAGAACGTACACATACTTATGTCAGACTGTTTGGGAGTGTTACTTGAAGGATCATACTAGAAGAATTGTGTAAGTGGCATTTTCACCGATTTCACAGAATTATTATTTATTATTATATTATATTATATTATATTATTAATTATATTATATTTCCTCATGTTTCAATAATGTAAGAGATAATATAGAATCTATTAGGATGAAAACCCCCATCCTTAACTCTATGCTTGTTTCTTTTTTGTTTCTTTCCTGGCCAGCCTCTCAAGTGTCTTAACTCTCAGCATGTGTCTACCCTGCTGTGTAGGGGAGGGCCTTGTTCCCACACTCCTCATTTCTTAGCTTGCTCCCTAGCTCCCTCCAAGACAGCTTTGCTTATAACCTAAATCTATCCACTTAAGCCATGTGAATATGAGCCAGGCAGTCATACTTGGCCTTGAGCTTTCTTTTGTTTAGCAGTATGTGCATAATCTCTACGTTTAATTTTTTCACTAGCAAAATCAAGGAAGGCATCGCTAAACTTACTATCTAATGTTACCAGATGTATGATGTGTTTTAATCAGCAGTAGTGATCAGATTCCTGTTCAGATGGATTCTAGGAAACATGAGTCCGTTTTGTCTTTTGTAGCTAACAAAATCTGTTCAAACTCAATCTGTTCTAGAAGGATCTCAGTATCAATATGTCAGAAGGAAAATATAGCCACATTTTAAAGCTGTGGTATGCCTATAGTAGTTTTTACAGAAAGCATCCATTAAGTACTGACTTAAGCATTTTCAGTTCTTACCCTCTTAATTGGTGCAATATATTGTCTTTGCTCTTAGACTGCGAGTGCAGGATGCTACCAGAAATTGTCACCTGAGACCAAGGTTCCTTGTTTCTAATTCCCAGCTTTGCCAGTGACTCTATTTTCTTGAGTGGGAAAGTTACTCCTGCCTATGATACACTTCCAGAAATGAAAATTTGAATTTCACTCGGAGGGTGATGTGAGGATAAACTGACATTAAGACATTGCAGCTATATGGAGAGTACCACACAGTTGCTAAGCATACCAGGAGGCAAAGAAATAGGAATAAAAACCTTACAATTCATACCAGGCAATGAAATATTACTCTAAAATTACTGCCTAAATGCTTTCACAGAATTAGTTCAGTCTTTAGATCAGTATTTTAATTTCTGTAGATGATATAAAACTAGGAGAAGTGGTTGACATACCACTGTCTCACTTCAGGAGGGACCAGGACAGGCTGGAGAAATATGCTAACAAGAATCTCATGAAATTCAGCAAAGGGAAGTGCCAAATCCTGCACCTTCGGAGGAACTACCTCTGGTACCAGCACAGGCTGAGGGCGACCTGCTGGAAAGCAGCTTTACAGGGAAGGCCTCAGGG